GTCCGCCTGAGACTCCACCGTGGGGGCATCCAACCGGTGGCATTATGGGGTGTAGAGAGTCAAGGCCTGGCCCCGCGCTACAGAGCGGCCCTCCGCCATGGGATGGCAAAACATCTAGGACATCACACTGGAGGACTTCTTGATGCCACTTATGACATACACGCCAAACGCTACATCGACCCCAGTGATCAAGTCCTCATCCAGCACATCAAAGCCATTCACCATCTCATGCAGGCCTGGCCAACCGACCAGATCCAAGCTCTGGAACAGGCATGGCGCCAGACATACCACCACCTCCAGGAGAAGCAGTACCCTTGGTACAGTGTCCGTGGGCCTCTGGCTGCAACCATTGTCTACCTCCTCGAATGGGGCTGGCAGCCGCAAGAACTGCTTCATTGGAGCCGGCCCGAAACCAAGCTGCTGCTTGCGCAGCAGCTTGACCTTCAAGCACCATGGTGGCACATCGAGCGCACTCTCACTCAGGAGGCCCAATGGCAAAGAACCAACCGGTTGGCCAGCAAACAGCACTATGACCACCTGCTGACCGGGTTGGACTGGCACACATACCGCCAGGTGCGGAAAAAGCTCAAGCCACAGCAACAGCAAAACCTGGATACATGGGTACAGCATTTCCCTGATGCCCACCAGACCAAAAGCTGCCCGATATGTGGGGTCCCAGCCACCCCAAAACATATGCTCTGGCTGTGCAAGTGGCACAAAACCCAGAACCATGATCCCATGCCGCCGGAATGGATGAACCGGATCACCAGCCAAGATGAAGAACCCTTATGGGCCCATGGATGGATCCCACTTGAGCCACAGGAAGCACGAACAGCAGAACATCCAGCGCAAGGCCATGGTTGTTGGGCAGGCCTGCCGGTCATCCCACTCCAACAGCACACTGGCTGGGCCTTTACGCTGGATGCCACACCTTCCACATATGACACTTGCAGCCAAATGTGGATTTATGGCCTCTGCGCTCACACCATGGCTCTCGGGCAACTGAAGCGACTGGGAACCCTCACTGGCGTCCCCAAGGGCAGCCAGACCAAAGTCCGAGCACTTCTAGCCGGACTTGTGACCCTAGCCAACCAAACTGCGGATCAGGTCAAGGTCATTGTGCAGCTCGCCACTGTGTGGGAGGCATGGCACCACCCGAAGCACCGAGGCCCGTACATGGACATCCTTGCTGAAGTACCACCCCAGGACTACCAACGAGTCACTGTACTTTACATCAGCAAGAACACCAGGACCCCAGATGCACCAGCTAAAAAGAGGCAACAAGAAGCTGCCCTGGCTGCATGGGAAAGGGCAAAAACCTTCTATGATGCCAAGCAAGAAGAATGGCAAGAGACCCTGGATCAAGACCACCAGCTTATTTACGAACATGCTGTCAACAGACTCAGCAAGATCTATGCCGACAACATGCACTATGTGCACCAGAAGGCACCCCGGCACCAGGGCAAACAAACAAAGCAGTACAAAAAGGAGCTGGTGAACCGCTGCCGCAAACCGTGGGCACACAATCACCATCACTGGGAGCCACATCAGCGAAGTGGCTATCAATGCCGCAGCTGCGGCATCAGGATGCATCAAAGTCTCACGACTGAAGTCCTGGAAGCCCGGTTGACTGAAGACTGCCCCCAAGTGCTGATTGATGAAGGTCCCACTACTGCAGCAGAGACCGCACCGCTCCCCAAGAAGCTGACCAGGGCCCAACAGATCAAGGGGCTTTTGGACCAACAACCGGATCAACCCATCCCCGGTCAGCACCAGTTGGCAGAAACCACTGGCTACCTGAAGTGTGTGGTTTGTGGCATCAACGTACACAAGAGGGTCAATGCGGCTGCATTCACCACCTTCATTCACAGCCCTTGTGTCAATCAGGCCTACACTGCAGTCCACCAGGGACACCTCAGTCATGCACTCTGGCAGGTTGGAGAGCGAGTCAAGTGCACCCACTGCGGCACACATTGGAACCTGGACGGCCAGCAACGCATCATAGCCACTCAGGCGCTCCACAAGCCATGCAAAGGCGCCGGCACCAAGGGATCACCGCCCCTCAGCGAGTACTTCAAAAAGAAGGACTCCTCCAGCAGCCACAGTCCAGAACTTGCACCTCAGGCATCAGCAGCCGCTGCAGCTCAGCCCACACCAAGGAGGCTCAGCTTTCAGACCGCTTTAGATGCTCAGGAACAAAATGCTTTAGAAGACCAAGAACATGACGACCTCAATCAACGGCTGTCTGCACAGGCCATGAACCCCAGTCCCCTGGCAGCAGCTGACGACAAGGCCGAACTTGAAGTCGACTACTTCTGAAAAGGAAGCAACTACCACCAGCAGAAGACCACATGAGGCAACTGCTACGGTAGCATCTGGCCAAAGGCCCTGAAACTCGCCAAAGAGCCTCGCGCACATCTCTAGAAAAAATACATATATACATACATACATACATACATACATACATACATACATACATGCATACATACATACATACATACATACATAACAAAACATAACATAACATAACATAACATGCAATACATACATTACATACATTGCATATATTGCATACACAACATGCATAACATCCATCACATCCATCACACACATGACATACATCACATACATACCATACATACCATACATACATACCATACATACCATACATACCATACTTACCATACATACCATACATACATACATACATACATACCATACCATACCATACCATACCATACCATACCATACCATACCATACCATACCACACAATACAATACAATACAATACAATACCATACCATACATACATACATACTAGCATTGCATTGCATTTCTTTGCATTGCATTTCTTTGCATTACATTACATAGATACATAGATACATACATAGATAGATACATACATGCATACATTGGCAAAGCACGTGTTGTTTCAACCCATACATTTTTCCATGGGCGCTGTTCACCTGCGCTGGCAGTGTTGGCAAGTTCCAGCCTTCTTTTGAAAGGACAAGTTCCATTCGTCATGAATAAAGAGATATCCTGCCAGAGTCCAGGAACAGAAAACGCATCGTCGTCTCAAAGTCAAAAGGAGAGGTCTCCCAACCAATAGATCATCCTCTCTGAAAGCCCTTGGACTTGCTGTACACCCACGACCCACACCCACCGGACCCCTGACTCCCTCAGATTCCTTCGAAATAAAAAGGTTAACATGTTTCATGTGTCATGTCTCCATCTGTTCTTGCTTAGTGGGGAAACCACTCCCTAAAAGAGGTTAAGGTTCTGACTGGGTAGGGACCCAGTGTAGGGAGCTAGGGAGCATACCAAACACCATCAAAACACCGCCATTCCAGTCACCATCACCATCATGCATCGCAAAGCATGTTTGAATCTTTGAAAAGTGAAGTTGAGCGGCGAGGGGCAGTGTCCAGAAATCATTCAGGTTTCGTTGGCGGTGGGAGGTCCACTGCGCTAGCCATTCAGCTCCCAGCCTCCTCCCAGCCTCTCCATCTCCGCTGAGAGCCCACACTGAACAGGACCACCTCAAGAGCGATGCGGCTCGGCCACGTCGTCCAAACTGTGGATGGTGACAATCAACAACGCACAAAGCATACGTGATGATATGTAAGGGGCTTCTACAACCCAGTAGGAAGGCAAAATTAGTACAGTGATGGTGTTGGTACCCCTGTCCTGTTCATAAAACAGATGGACCCAGTGATGCTCCCCCAAAATGCTGGAGTCGGCTGATTTGCATAGACCTCAAGGCCTCTTCGAATGCTCCCCACGATGCTCGAATCGCTTGAGATCGTTTCCTCCTTTCAGATTCTTACAACTCTTGTGCTCGTTAAAGTCAAACAAATCAATGATCCACCAGCGGTTTTGGGGTGACTTCGGACACCTTTCCTCGTCGGTCCGGACTGTGACGTTCCGACGTGTCCTCCAAGAGTCCACGAAGAGTCGCGATGCTGAACGACCGACAGTCCGTGCACCCTAAACCCGGTGTGCCCAGTAAAGCGTAACGTGGAACAAAAACATCCCCAAAGACCCATGAATCAGAGGTCACCACTCCCATCTGGCAGGTCATCTCCACGGGTTTTGAGTGGAAAGGAAGGAGGTCGAGATCAAGCAAGGCTTTCATCTTTTGACATTGCCAAGTGCGTTGGGGGAGCTTCCTGAATGTTTAATCTATGTTTCCGATACATGTGTGCTCAATCAACAGAAACTTTGCCCTGTGGAAACTGTCCCTCAATTGAATTGACAGTGATGAGATCGCAAGAGGTTTTCTTGGAGCTCATAAAAGCAAGCTATACTGGTCAACACACAAGGCTTCTACATCAAAAAGACTTAGTTTGGAGATGTTTGGAGTGAACCAAATCCAAAGTCTGGTTGGACCAGGTCCAAAGTCTGGTGGTCCAACCTGAGAAAAAGTGTTAGGTCCTCCAAAAAAGGGGGTCTCCTGATCTCCGACTTCGCATTCCCCTCTTCGGTGTCCCCAAGGCACCGCCGGCAGGTGCCGCTCCCCCAGCACGATCACCATCTCTGCCCCGGTGCGGCTTCAGCGCAACCCTCACCGTGACGGCGGTAAACCCGCGCCTGTCGGTGGGGTGACCCAAGGGCCGGTCAGACAACGAACGAAAACGGCTTGGGCGGGATCAACGATCCATGTCGGCTGTTTATGGATCAGATTTGGGGGTCCTGTATTGCTCTGATCCAAACTGTCCAGATCCACTGAATCTGGGGGGTATTCATCAGTGTTCTACATGAGTGGTCCCCAAATAGGCCGCTTGGGGCTCTTTCCAGATCGCATTCTGTTTTCAGTGATTTGGCTTCATGGTGTTTATAGTACCTGATTCCGAGTCACATGCTGGGGGCTGAAGCCAATGACCACCAACGACACCTCACCGGACCAAGGGTATGCTTGCTTTTGCAGGAACACAATTCCCAACGCTGCTGCGCAGCAGTTGCTCCACAGAAACCACCAGACCTGCGCAGTTTTTATTCAGTACTTCAGACAGCGAGACAGGTCGAGAACTTGAGACAAAAGGTTCTGTGGTGGTCTCAAGTGCGTGATGACCTTTGTCATCCGTCGTACTCACCCTCCTCCTCGTCGAATTCACCCTCCTCTTCAGCAGTTGCATCTTGGTACTGCTGGTATTCCGAGACCAAATCGTTCATGTTCGACTCGGCCTCAGTGAACTCCATCTCATCCATACCCTCACCGGTGTACCAGTGCAAGAAGGCTTTGCGGCGGAACATTGCTGTGAAGTACTCCGCCACCCTCTTGAACATCTCCTGGATGGCGGTCGAGTTGCCTGCGAATGAGACAGCCATCTTCAGTCCCTTTGGTGGAATGTCGCACACTGATGCCTTGATGTTGTTGGGGATCCACTCGACAAAGTAGGAGGAATTCTTGTTTTGGACGTTCAGCATCTGCTCGTCGACCTCCTTTGTTGACATGCGGCCACGGAAGAGAGCGGCCGCTGTCAGGTAGCGGCCATGTCGAGGATCAGCCGCGCACATCATGTTCTTCGCATCGAACATCTGTTGCGTCAGCTCTGGAACAGTGAGTGCACGATACTGCTGCGAGCCACGGGAAGTCAAAGGCGCAAAGCCAGTCATGAAGAAATGCAGCCGGGGGAACGGCACAAGGTTCACAGCAATCTTGCGCAGGTCACAGTTCAGCTGTCCCGGGAAGCGCAGGCAGCAAGTTACGCCCGACATTGCTGCTGACACCAAGTGATTCAGGTCACCATAAGTGGGCGTGGTCAGCTTCAAAGTGCGGAAACAAATGTCGTACAAAGCTTCGTTGTCCAGCAAGAAGGATTCATCGGAGTTTTCCACCAACTGGTGAAAACTCAGGACAGCATTGTACCTCGTATTGTGCAAAGCATGACGGAACAACAAAAGTCTACTCAGAGGAAAAGCATCATGTTCCACCTGCAATGCTGCAATGCCATTCGAGCTGCCCAACCCCATCCCAACAATTTACACTCGGAAATCGTAAATACCTTGGCTTTGTTGCAAGCAAGATGCGGTTCCACGACTGTGTCGGACACCTTCGGCGATGGAATCACTGAGAATGTCTCCATGATACGATCTGGATACCTGCAAACTACACACACAAATCCAGCACAAATCGATCTTCTTTGCCAAACCACAAAACACATTTGCCAATTTAACACCCAGGTGCTCTTCTCGCACTTTGGAAATCAGTCGTGTTCCCATGCCTGCACCAGTGCCACCACCAAGAGAATGGCACAGTTGGAACCCTTGCAAGCAGTCGCAACCCTCCTTGGAGCAGCACGCCAATCACCAAGGCAAACATCATTGCATGAGTCACGATTCCTCTTCGCAGAACTTACAATACAAGTAATTTGGGCAAACCAAGGGCGGAAATGTCCAAAAAGAACAGAACCTACTCGAAAACAAACGACCAAGCGTTGTTTGTGGCACACTCTTGTGGGGCACTCGTGTGGGACACTCTTGTGGGACACTCTTGTAGGACACTCTTGTGGGACACTCTTGTGGGACACTCTTAGACTCTTGTAGGACACTCTTGTAGGACACTCTCATGCAACGTTCTTACGGGACACCATTGTGGGACACTCTTGTAGCGCATTTTTTGTCGGACACTCTTGTCTTCCCACATCCCTCACTTCTTTGAGTTTCTTTGAAGACTTGCTTTCGGTCTAATTCGAAGTCCAACTTGAAGCAGCTAACGCTAATGCGCAGGATCAGAGATCTTTTTTCTTCAGAGCTAACACCGTAGGCGTAGCCAATTTCATCTTTTGGTCAACAGACATCTATGATGTTGGTGGGGAGAGCGTCAAGGATACAACAACTCGAGTCGTCGTTGGCTTCCCAAAATTGCTTCTTGGGTCAATGGCTGTGAACACGCTTCGTCCGTTTAACCCACGCAAGGCGTCATCTACCAGGAAGAGAAAGACAAATCTCGTGCTGATGCCGATGGGAAAAGAATGAAAAGCAGATGCCCACTCCACACCTCCTTCAAACACACCCGGTCCAGACCAGACCATTCTGCGCCCTGCAAGAACCTGCAAACATCATCACTCGACCAAAAAAGAGGGCGAAAACAATGCCAAAAGAAGGGAGCAAGAGCGCAAGAATCAATCTCTTTCTTTTCAGCGCCACCCAGGCGATGGATCAAGCCCGGATGATCAGAAGTCTCCGCCCCGTTCCGAGCTCTGGCGATATACTAAAATTGCACGTCAGTCATCTCAGAACTGCCAGGAACTGAAAAGACATGAACCTTGCGATAATTGGTCTTATCCTTGGCAAGCTTGGAAAACAAAGCACAGCGTCCCAACTTTCTCAGTAAATGAGAAGCAGTACTGGGCGAACAACTCACATAAGTCGTCAATGACCGCATCTCTGTCAGATCTCCACGCAGAAAAATAGTTCTTAGTCGGCAAACCTTTGGTAGGCCAAGGGCATAATATTTTCTCCACGCGAGTCATTCAAAGCAGTTCGGCAAGCGAACGCCTGCCTCCTCCCAACAAACTGCAAGCTGGCCAAAACACCGCAACCCGTCGATCCGCGCACTTTCTCGCTGCGATCACCAGCTTCTCTTGACGCGGACGCGCAGCCGCGCAGGCCGACAGGCGGCAGAAGTCCACGTCGAGCTGCGGCTTCGCTTGGCCGTAGAAAGCTACGCCGACACCGTCGTCTGGGACGGCTGGATCATTTTGTCTGGCCCGCGCCGTGCGATTGCCAAGCCAAAGTTGGCCCGGTAGGCATGGGTCTGATGCCGCATAGCGCTGCGTACCTCGTGGGCGCCAGCGACGTTGCGGGCGGGAGCTTCCATGTTCGTGAGCATCTTGCGGGCGGCCGCAGACAAAGTAGGCACACGCCGCAGCTTGGTCAAGTCTCCGTTGACGGCCTTGCGCTCACCGTTGATGACCACATATTTGCTATCCTTCACGGCTCTGCGGATTTCCGCCGCCTTAGACGACACGCACGTCGCAGAGCTACAACCCAGAGATGCCCTCAATTCAGGCTTGAAAGCCTGCACCTTCAGGCTGGATAGCCTTCACTTCGGGCTGGTCAGCCTCTTGCTTTGTTTAAATGTCCTGATGTCTGCCCTGAATTAAATGCCGTAATTGGCCTGAGGTCTGTTTGAGCTGAGGCTCGCCATGTTGCTTGCGGGTATGATCTTTGACAGCTGTGTGTTGCTAGTTTGGAGGAAGGATAAACATAGGTGTGCGCTGCAGTATGTTTTCTTTGGCTGCTTAGGGGGTAGTTTCTTAGATTGTTCTTTCTTGCGTCATGTGACTTGTGGATTGTTGGATGAGAGTTGAGGGGACGTCACTATTTGACTTCTTAGTACTTGCACTGAAAGAATTTGAATTACTTGAGGTTTGATGCACTTGTGAGTCAACTTGTGTTGTGAGTACTTGCTCTTGCCTGATTAGATTTGGGCGCTTATGTACTTTGAGAAGCTGAACATACTTGAGGTTTGATATACTTGTGAGTCAACTTGTGTTGCGAGTACTTGAGATGCCTGATTACTTTGGATGCTTATGTACTCTGAGAAGCTGAAATACTTGAGGTTTGATATACTTGTGGGTCAACTTGCGTTGTGAATACTTGAGATAGCTGATTACTTGGGATGCCCCTGTATTTGTGAGGTTTGATGCATGTGAGAGCTTTTGAAAGACTGAGGGGTAGCTGGTGCGCCTGAATACCTGTGCTTGTTTAGTATTTTTCTTTGTAGTCTTACCAAGATTTAGATGTTTTCCATTGAAAATGCTTTGAAGGTGATGCATTTTTGATGCACTGTTGACGCACTTTTGAAAGCGCATCAAATGTGCATCAAAAGTACATCACCAACATTCAACCCAAAAAAAGACACATTTTGAGACAAATGTATATAGGTTTGTCTAATTCAGAAGGACCTTATCTCTTGGATTGCTTTTGTATCTTGATGCAAGATACTTAGAGAGGTCCGAATTGTGTCAAATTTATGTTTCAGAAGGGTCTGTTCTCTTGGGGACGCTTTTGCATCTTGAGGCAAATTACTTGGAGAGGTCTTAATTGTGTAAAGACCAAAGTACTTGAGACTTGATGCTGTTGTTCTTGAATACTTGGGCCACATGGAGTTGGTTAGTACCGAGGTTGTTATGTTTCCAGAGCTTCTTCATGTCTTTTGGGTTCATGAGAGAAGGAAGTAGTCAAGATTACCATGATCTTCTTGAGATACTAGAGACTAGAGCCATGTCCAGTCACGGTGGTGAAGTCGAAGTGGCTCCTACACAACTGAGTCCTCACCAGAGCCCTGACCAGAGTGAGCCTGAGTCAACGCAGCCCAAGAAGCAGCATGCTGCGCATGCCCTGGGCAAGCCAAAGGCACAGCCCAAGGGCAAGGCTGTGGTGAAGAAACCTGCAACTAAGGTTCTGGTCTTGTTGAAGCCAAGTCAGTCACCAAAGGAGGAGAAACACAACAAGACAGAGAAGCCTGGGAAGACAAAGAAAGAAAAGGAAGAAAAAAAGAGAAGAAATGGTCAGAGGGCTTGGAGAAGACAAAAGAGAAGACAGAAGAGAACACAGAGGAGAAGACAGAGGGTGCAGGAGAGGAGGTTGCTACATGCCATGAGGTGGTCGACCCCAACACCAACTTCAGCATGTCAAATCCGGAGACAGACCAGAAGAAAGACCGCAGCAAGAATGCAAAATTCAAAAAAGTCGCTGGCCTCTGGAAGCTGCAGAGTGGATGCACAGTTTTGGAGTTTTTATGATGCACTTCTGAAGCACTTTTGATGCATTTTTGAGTTCTCACTAAAGTACTAAGAATGCATTATTTAGTAGTTTTATACAGTACGGTTTCAATTTTAGTAATTTCTAGGATCTAGTAAAATTACTACTTCAGAAGACTTAGGGTTCAACTTCAAGCCAAAGGCACAGCCTTAACACGCCACGCGCCAACGACGCGTCCACCACTGGAAGAAGATCGCACCAAGGGCGCAAGCAACTGCCACCACCACTCCGCCAAGCAACGATGCGCTTGGAACTCTTAGCTTTATCACTCGCAAGGCGTAAATAATGGTAAGCATCGTGAGACCCTCGCGGCTCCCAATCAACCACAGGACGCACGGAAGACTCAGCGGCCAACCGATGAACAAAGACGCCCGCCTTTCCAGAAAGACAAGTTACCGTATCCACCTCAGCAGTCAACACCTTGAGGTATCCAACCAAGAAGATTTCCGACTCACCCGCGCGATTCTTTCCTTTTGTTTCAACCCATCCATAGCTAGAATGGAAAGGAATGTTACCGAGCCACTCTTTGAGCAACACAACGGGTTTGGATTTCCAAGCCTGCCACTGACCCTTAGCCAAGAACTGCATTGGCACATGCACGCATTGTGGCCAATTCCTTTGGAATCGGAACTGACTTCACTTCCTGGCCAAGGCGGACGGCAATGCCGGCAAAGCGGACCCAAGGGCAAGACAACCAAGCTTCTTGAACACCACCTTGCGTTCACCAGACAAGATGGGTAACGTGACTTCGAAAACGTTAGGCGGCAATGGCTCCAAAGACACATCAAAAACCAACGCAAACTGAAGGTCAAGCTTGCGCGCAACAGCAAGGTCACGAGCTTCAAGAGCACGTTCCAACAAGGGGGCAACAGAGATAACTCCAACAGGTTTCTCTCGAGCTTCAAGTGTACGCTGCACTGATCCAAAATCCTGTACCGCATTCAGCTCCAAACAAGGTTTTGCCAACACCAACTGACCTTTGGCGCCCTTTTTAGCGATATCAGCCCAAGTCTTAGACTTGGGGGAACCATCATCAGCAGAACCGGAAGCAGGGGTCTTGTCAGTACCCTTAGGGCTTTTAAGTTGCGACAAGAACCCTTCCAAACGTTTGACCAGCTCAGAAGGGTGAGAGCGAATGCCCGCAACAACTTTCTCAAAAGCGCCCAAATCACCAGAAGAAGGTGAAGGAGCAGGATTCTCCCCTTCTTTCCTTTTCTTCTTTTTCTTTTTTCCCGAAAGCATTGCGAAGGGTTCTTCCGGAAAATCCTTTGAACACTGACACTTCGACACTTACACTTCCACACTGAACTTCGACACTTACACTTACACTGACACTTCCACCACACTTGCACTACAACATGAACGCTATACGTACCCCAGTGTAAGTGGAAGAGCGCAAGCATCCAAGTGCTAAGTATGCAAGTGTCAAAGTATGCAAGTGTAATAATGATGCAAGCGCGATGATGAGTATGGAAAACTAGCACGAGAGATGTCCTAATGATGAGCATGGAAAACTA